ATGTCACCTTGATAATTGATGATGCTAGTGAATGTTTACAACTTGCAATCAAGAAAAAAGATAGCATTGAGGTAAATAGATCAACTATCTTAATCGATATTGGTAATAGAAAAGCAAAGCAGTCAATGAACAGTTATCAAAAATAACAGAATTAATTAAAATTCAGAAAAACAAAAATATGAATTTTCTCAAAAACAACAAAAAACTTTAAATGATGCACCTATCATTTAAAATTAAAAGTTATATTATTTTGTAATATGTAAATATTTTGTTTATATAGTTTTGTAGCTGAGATACTACAACAGTATTGATAAAAGATATCGTGTGTTTTCTATAAACCAAAAGCATTTTTGATTCTTATTTAATTTCATTTTTTAACATTTATATTGCATTTATGTGTAAAATCGTTAAAAATAGATCGAACCCAAATTGTTATTTTTATTGTTGAAAAATATTTCCATGTCATTGCTTTTCACTACTTGATGATACTTTTTTATTTAGCCCATCGGATAAATGTAAAAGAAGAATCTCATTACAATCTACGATATTGCTGTAGTTTTTCTAGGCGTCAAAAAAATTTTGTAGGGGAAACTAACGTCCTATATATTTCCTATATAGTTGAGGGTGGTCCTATATATTTTTGGCCTCTAAGGTCCTATATATTCCTATATTTTTTCAGAAGGCTGCTGCGAAGCCAGGTTTTAAGGAATAAGAATTTTTTGCAAAAATAGATTGTTTTCTGCTAAAAAATTTTCAGTGGAATAAACAAGCTAAAGATTTTGAGAAACCAATTATGGATTCAGATTCCTCGACTTCAATTACTTTTCATCAAACTTTTACAATAAATTGCTACTTTTCAAAAATTCTCTTTTCTAGCGTAAAAAAACAAACTCAAAATTGAAAACCTGATCGTAGATTCAGATTCCTCGACCCCATTTTCATTGGTTTAACTTTATAAAAATTATTATTTCTAGAAAATAGCGTTCGCTGGACAGCGAAAATTAAACTCAAAATTTTAAAAACAAATTGCAGATTCGGATTTCTTGATTCTGACTATCTTTGGTGAAAATTCAGAAAACATCGTTATTTTTAGAAAATAGCCTTTCCTTCACAAGACAAATTATACTCAAAATTTTGAAAAACCAGTTGCCAGTTTCAGATTCCTCGTACTAGGTTATCTTTGGTCAAGCTATATAAAATATCGTTATATTTAGGAAATTACATTTCGTTCGATGAATTCGGAAGCCTTCCGTTAAAAGTTAAGGAAATCCATGTCGCGTTTCCCTTCTCGTTTCTCGGTACAGGACTGGATTGCGTTCCCCATTCCTACGAACCGAACGCAAAAGTGACACTCCTACAAAAAATTATCTTCTAAAAACTGTTACTAAATGTACTATGTACAAAGAGGGAAAAGCGAGACTTCTGGTGTGTGTACTCCAGCTGTACTTCCCCTGTACTAAGGCATGCACCAAACCTGAAGCGCTTGGGAGTTTGACTGTGAGTTTCGATTTGGATTAGGTATATCATCCCTAATTTTTTCAATAAAAAAAGATCTTTTGAGAAAAAATGATTCTTTTATCAGGCTTAACTGAAGGTAATCGAATTCGGTGCATCCGAATTTGAAAACAGTTTCTTAAAATTTTTCAAGTTCATTTTTTTGACTAAACAAAAGGTTGTTTGAGAAAATAACGGTTTCTTATGAAGTTTGACTTCAGTGAGTAGAGTAAGCTTACTTGATCAGGAAATAAAGCAGAAAATATTTTAGAATCTGATTGAAGATTACGATTCCGCGACCCCGATTACCTTCCATTAAGCCTTATAAAAAAATCATTTTTTTCTCAAAAAGCCCTTTCTTTAGTCAAAAAACCAAGTTCAAAATTTTGAGAAACTGACTTCAGATTCGGATTCCCTGACCCCGATTACCATCGGTTAAGCCTTATAAAAAATCATTATTTTCTCAAAAACTATCATTTTTATTGAAAAAATTAGGGATGACATAACTACCACAGAAATCCAAACCTAAACGCAAACTCCCATACGGTTCTCGGTACTTCACTTGTACTTTGGTTGTCCTTCCACTATACTTCTTGGTACTTCTATTGTACTTCCATCGTACTCTCTCGTACTTCCATGATACTTCCTCATACTTCGGTCGTACTTCAAAAAACTTCGGAAGTAGATGAAGTCTTGCTATTTTCCCCTTGATACAAAATCATTTTCTTCAGATTCTACTCAATAGTCTTTGTAGAGCGGTAATATGAGTTTCTATACGAAATAACGGCACAACCATACAGGAGGAACAAGTCTGGAATAATATCGATGACCGAGCTGGAGTTATATTTGTAACTTCAGACAGATGAATTCATGCAGAAAGATTTGAAGGAAAACTGGTATGTTTCTTCTAGTAAAAGAACATATGAAGGGTCGAATAGCATTTACAGGATCTAAACATAAGCAATACTGAAATATTTGTGTTGCAGTAGTTTTACTCATCCTCGCTGTTAATATTCAAAAATACGTTATTGCGAAGTATTTTTTTAAAGTCTTTTTTGATTCCATCTTCAATAATGCTCTGAATAGACTATTTCGACTATAATAATTTTCATTCCTTACTGCATTTCACTCAAAAATATCTGACTGTTTAGACACACCAAAAGAGGTGAAATAAATAGGTCCCGACTTTTTTTTTTGTTAGAATGAACAACGAACGTCAAGTGTATGAACCTGAACTAGTACAGTTCAATCATTGACTTGATTAGTGACCCACTCAAGTAGAAGAATTTCTTCGAAAAACTCTTGACCATGACACAGTTCCTGTTCCTAATTGGTTACTTTTTTTCCCAGAGAAATAGTAAAGAACTGCAAGCCTTTTTTCTTTCGTGTATCTAAAACACCTCATCGATTAAACAACTGCAACAATTTAGCCAGCTTCTGAAGCTTGACCTAACCCGTTTTCTCGCGAGAAGAGATAGATAAGATGAAAGAATTTGGTGTTGAACGAAAGCATTTGCCTTCTTTCTTATCTAACCTGTCATTAGGATCTGTTGACTAGGTTTTATTGTTGAAACTATACATTTTAATTAGAAAAAAAATCACTGTGTCAGTATAAGTTCAAAATAAAAAATTGTTGATTAATGAGCTAATACTAAAAGCTTTCATTGTTTATTGTTCAGACTTAGTCTGTCTCGCCCAATATTCATTTTCAACATCAATCCATTTCAACGGCATCAACTTTGAAATACTCAGCACATATGGCTGCTCCATGGTACCCACGATAACTCTCGCCTTGCGATTGCAATCGCCAATCAACTCTCGACATCTGCCACATGGACTGAAAAGTCTAAACTTGTTCTTGTCGGTGTCATCACCAGCCAGTGCTACAATTGTCTCCAGCTCACCCATCTCTCGTCCATCGTTGATCATCGAGCACACAGCACTCACCTCACCGCACAACGGCTGCGACGATTCGATGTGAATGCCCGTGTAGATTTTGTCTGATGGTGTAGAAGTGCGTAGTGCACTAACGACGACATGATAGTGAGGTTTGTGAAGATGGTGTGAGACGCGTTTGGCTTCTTCAATCAGTTCAAAATCTTTTTCAGTTAATTTGGAGTCAGAATTGAGGGCTTCTTCGTTGCGTGGTAGTGATGATGCGTGTTCTTGCTGCATTTTTAATAAATGTAAAATGCGTGTGAATATATTTTGCTTATCACATTTATGCCCTGTTGTTAAAATTTAGATAAGGAAAGAAGAAGAAGAAAATGTGGTAAATGTGAGTTTCTTCTGATTTTGAATGTTTTTGCAGCACATTGCACGTTTCGTCTTGTAATATGCAGCAGTGTGCATTGAACTAATTTTCTATTTCTCATTTTTCAATTGAAATTTTATTTTTATTAATTGATCAAAAGAAAATAATTTTGTTCATTTCATTTTTCCACACGATCTATGTTTTGGAAAAAGGGTACCAGTGATAATGTTTGATGGATTTGAGAAACAATGAACATCTTCGCTGTGAGAAGAGGATATTGTCTATGAGTGTAATTTTACAATAACTTCTGTATATAATGCGCAGAAAATGATCTTGGATGAAAGTTTTAGTATGAATATATTGAGATAGACACTTCATTCTCTCCTGGACAGGTGAAGACAGAAATGACGGAATGCAATTATTAGAAGATGAATCTTAGTAATGCGTGAATAGTGTTCCTCGTCGAATAAGCCATCTTACAGATGTCACAACACGATCATGTACAGTCTTTTTTTAACCGTATTTCTACCAACCTTAAGACAATCATAGAATGTCGTATCGTAAATAGTAATATATGTTTGTAAGCGACTGGAAGTAGCCAGTATGGAATTGTTTACGATCTGGCCATACATCAAAGTTTTCTCTCGATCTCACTCCGGTGTTTTTCTTCCTTTTTCATGGACTCATCGCTTGTCATGACTAATTTTGCCACATAGACATCATGTGTTTTTTCCTTGCCCGAAGCAGACGGCCATTACTCAACCACTGTTGAGATTATTCTTAAAAATCGTCCCAACAAGCATTAATGGGTGTGAGTGTGTTGGTTTTGTCTCCCATTTCACGCTCGTATCTTGTACAACTTATACAAAGATGAAAATTCGACTATAATATGTAATAGTTGTCAATAGAATATTTATCATATGTTATGTGTATGGTCGCAAGTAAACTTTTATGACATCACGAAGATTTCTCAATCCTCCAAATCCTGAAATAACAGCACGATTCTCGTTCAGCAATTCTCCATTTTTGCTTGGAATTTTACATTATACGTTGAAAGTACATAAATATTCTCTGAGTAAAGAGCGTAATAAAATTTCGATGGGTTGATGTCTTTATGACTTTTTGCGTTCTGTGGGATTTTTTAACATATCTTTTTTTCAAAGAACATTGTATGTTTTTTTCTGGATTATATACTTTTACCTGTGTAGAAAGTTATACACATTTCATTTTCTTCAATCAAGTGAAATAAGCTATGGCTACTCAAAATGAATGGTACACAGTTCTTTGTGGCACATGTTCATATATATTACCAGAACGATATCAGGAATTAACTCCCATTGGACAAGATGCTTTTAGTGCGGTAATGTAAGTTGAGAAATTAATTTCATATTATTTTTCTAGTTATTAAATTTTTGTTTAGTCGTGCTACAGATACAGTATGTTTGATCGTGAACACGATTCAATAAAAATGATTATATTGTACTTTAGAGAACGGGTCGATATGTAGTTATTGAAAAAATACTTCGACCGTTTTATACTCGAACACATGCAAAACGAACTTATCGAAAACTTAAACTACTCATCTGTCTTCGCCATCCAGATGCAAATGTGCGTAAAAAAACAACACTCCTGCTATTGCTGTGAATTGATTTGTATTTTTTCTAATGTAGGTTATACAATTGCACGATGTATTTACACCTGAAAGAACTCTGGACGATTTTCAAACAATGTGTGTTGTAAGAATATATTTGTTCAATGAAAATGTTGGCGTTTTTTCTTCTTTTATTACAGATATTTTGTCTATTTTGTCTCAAAGTTTCATGATTGGTATACCTTGGATAAAGTTATTAAACGTAGGAAACCATTCCCGGAAGATCATATTAGACAAATTATCTATTCAATTGTTCGCGGTTTGAAGGTATTAGAAATCTGCCACAATCTCTAACTAATTAGTACAAACTTGTTCTCTTTCTTTCTCATTTAGTTTATTCATTCAGCTGGTGTTATCCATCGTGTAAGTGAAACAAAAAAAAAACGTTCTATGTTATCAAAATATTGCTGACTGTTTCATTCAATAGGATATAAAGCCAGCAAATATTCGAATAGACGAACAGTCAAATATTACAGTAAGTATTGTATCCATGTCAAAATTAAGATATTTTACGTAGTTAATTTAAATTTCACTTATTAATAATTTTGCTGCTTATTTCAATATATGAACACTATTAAAGTGAAATAAGTATAGTAAGTACTAATGAGTGAATATTTTATTATTTCTGTTTTACATGTGTAAAATCAATTTGACTTTACTGTCGTCTATCCATTGTTTAGATAGACTAAAAGATCATAACTTCACATAAAGAGAAAAATATCTTGACGAGTTAGAAGTGAAAGTTTCGTTGTACTTAGACAAATATTTACTATTCTTGTGTCATTTTTTGGTCGATGTCTGCTTTTGATTTTTCAATATTAATTGAAGAGGTACAAGGCAAAATTTGTGTTGTCAAGGAACAACTATTCAATTTTTGAATTCAGGATACGTAGAGTGTTACATATCAACGGAAGCAAGATGAAATGAAAACAAAGCACTTGTCTTTGGTTAATGCATCTACCTTTCGTTCTATTGTTCCGCGCATCATAATTTTGATGTGGAGCTACATGAGTTTGTTTTTCTCGAACTATGGATCAATCGTTCGTTTCATGATGATCTCGAAAATAGAAAACCAGATAATACACATTCGAATACCGGGATCAAACTTCATGATCGAATCAACACCATCCATTTTCTGATTTCTATAGGTTAACAGAGTTCCAAAAGGGTAAAATTGGAGAATAAAGTATGTTTTTCAAGGTATTACGTCGATAATTAAGACAGAAGAAAGTATCAAATGATCATTAAATAGTATTCGTCATAAGCATCTTCGCATGCAGTCAAACAGCGTTCTCAGTAATCCATTTCATTATGTCTAACAGTTACGGCAGAATAAATGACCGATTAGTGTTATTTCCTGTTTCCATCAATGCTCAGTGTTCGGAATTCAGCCTTGTTTTCAAAAGATGTGTCATTCGATTCTCTGCAAGAATATGCTAAAAGTTTTTTCTTAAACTTTGAAGGAGAAAAATTGAGCAAATCGTAATATGAAGTTCTAACATGTTACACTTTCGAACACGAAAGTTAGTCGCTTTCGAGTTTATTTCTTGAAACGCTTTCAATCAGGAAAATAATCAAATAGTCATTTTGTAGAGCTTGAAAAGCTCTATCTTTAAATTATAGTAGAATTTTTTTTTGTGTCAATGTCTATTACATAGACTTATTATTTCTTTTTTAAAGACTTTTCCAAGAACCATGCTTTTCAATTGGCTATAAAGAACGCTGAGAAAATTTGCACAAATGAAGCAAAATGTAATTTTTTCAGCTTAGTCTTTTTCATAATTTCAAGAAAAATGAATATTACATTACACAAAAGCTTCAACATTTAAATGTAGTTCTTTACTTGAATAGAATGCCCAAAATAAGCAAAGTTCTGTGTATTTCAGAGTGTAGGTTAGGATGACGAAAATCTACTCTTTGCATCCATACCCACATCCATTTAACCATCTTTATAGAAAAAAATAAAGTCTGTTCAAATTCGATCCATTTAGATGGCATTTCTAAATTATTTCGTTAACTAGTGTTTAGTTCTTATTATAGTTGNACCATAACTTTCACCTGTAACATAAAATGGATTTGATGCATAATCAGTATAGATTTGAAAGAATTGTGTTAATGCTGAATAAAGATCACGTGCAACATCATCTTGTGAACGTGCATAACCTTGATCATTTGATGTAAAACTATAACCTGTACCAACTGGATTATCAATATATAAGAGATTATATAATGAATTCCATGTTATAGGTCGTTCTGTTAAACTTCCATCATTATTAACTTGTATAGGACCATGTTCATTAAATAAACCAAAAAGTGATGATGCACCTGGACCACCTTGAAGCCACAGAAGAACAGGAGCATTTTTATCACCATTTTGCGCAGGAAAAAACCAAAAAAACATATTTGAATTATATTGTTTATTCACAGTTAAATAACCAGAAAATGATTGTTGTGTATATGGTGGTAATTCAACAGAACTAAATCAATTAATTAATTACATAGAAAAATTAATAAAAAAATATTTTACCTTAATCGTCTTGCTTCTTCAATTTTACCTTGTTCAAGATAAGGTGTAAGAAATAAAGGTTCACCAGGATCATCATTTGATGTAATAATGTGTTGTTTTCCATTTGGATATATTAAACGACGAAATTGACCTTGAATATTTCCCGTAAAAAGAAATATTATGAGGAGAATAATAAAACCTTGTTGCAACATCATTATTATCTAAAATGATAAACTTAATACTAATAATAATGCTTCTTTTTTGGTTCTATTTATATAAGATAAGCAATAACAAAGAATTTTCACTATCGTCATCATTAACAACAAATAATGCTTTGTCATTGAATTCAATAAATAATGAACAAGAATTTCGTCTTATTGTTCAATATCATTATACACAATGGAAAGATATGGATGTTCCAAATGATTCACATACATTACTTCATTTAATACGTGAAGTTAATGAACAAACAAATCATGAACAATATCCAATTGTTGTTCATTGCACGTAAGAAAAGACAAAACAAAACTGCATTTATTTAAGAATAAAAATAATTTTTTTTTTTTTGTAGGGCTGGAGTTGGTCGTACAGGTACTTATATTGCTATTGATGCAATGCTCGATAAAATCAAGCAGGAGGAAAAAGTTGATATATATAATTTTGTATTACAAATGCGTCGTGAACGTCATTTGATGGTACAAACAGTAGTATGTTTATGTTATTAAAAAAATAAGAGTTGATTTTTTTTTCTGTATATTGCAATAGAAACAATATGTATTTATTTATCGATCTTTACTTGAATATTATCTTTATGGTAATACAAGAATTGAAGCAAATTCATTTCGATCAATATATTCAAATTTAAAAAACAATAAACAAGTTTTATTAATTTCTGAATATAATGTAAGTTCAGATCGTTTTTTTGTTTATAGGAACCATTTAATCGAGTTCAACATTTTTCTCCCACAGCAAAAAAAAAATAGAAATTCATGTACAGAGAATTCGATATGAATTTATTTCAATTCATAAGACTTCTCGAAATAAATTTTCTTGATATTTAGAAACTACCATTATTATCCGTTGAAAATATTTCTCATCGTGATGCTCATTTATTGACAAATATACATAAAAATCGACATACTCAAATCGTACCATGTAAGATTTATTCTTATCTATAAAACAAAAAAAAATTCCTTTTTTTTTACATAGATGATCATAATCGTGTTCGTTTAAGTCGTATACTAGGACATCCATATATAAATGCATCATTCATTGAAGTGAGATTTTATTTCTTATTTTAAATATTCATCAAAATATACTTCACAATAGGGATATTTACATCAGTCTTCATTTATTATAACACAAGATCCATTATCAGAAACAATTGATGAATTTTGGAGAATATTTATTGAACATGATTCTAATTGTATTGTACAATTACATACAACTATAGAAGTAAGATTAAATTTTATATAAAATTTTTTTTTTTCTTCATCATATTAACTATAATTTAGTCTTCTTCAAAATGTGCAATTTATTACCCAAATGATATTGATTGTACAATGAAAATTAGTACAACTATTTTATTAAAATTAGTAGAAAATGAAATAATAGAAGAAAAATATATTATTCGTCAATTTTGTTTAACAGATACACGTGAAAGTCTATCAAAAATAATTTATCACTATGAATATCTTATTCCTATATGTAATAATGATGAATATGAAAATGAACAATGCATTCCAACGGTATTAATACATAGTTTATTTGATTTTATTGGTCATATCAACAAACAATTAGATAGAAGCAATCACAATCGATATATAACTGTTCATTGTGGGTATGAAATAATATAGATACTTTTCGAATATTTTAACAAGTTTATTTTGTCTCTTATCGACAAGATAAAAACTTGTTGATATTCTTTTATCTCATAGAAGATCAGTAATGAAACTTTGTTGAAAGCTGATTACATCAAACATAACTATCGACAGATAGAATAGTACAGCAACTCTGTGGATATTATTACTCACATATACTGAACATATTCGAATCAAACTAAAGATCTTACTGATAAACTTATAATAGATTCCTTCGTATTGAAAAGATATCTTGTTAAAAACTGTCCAACATCTACTCACTATAATTCTGTCTTCAATGGGTATGCTAATATGTACATGATTCATTGTAACGAGGGAACATTCCTAGGTGTTGGAGCGATTTTTAGTCGAGACTTTGCGCATCTTGTAGGCCTTGATGAATTATGTCTACCGTAAAAATAGTTCGTGCCCCTAACTTGTTCCTAGTGAGATATCGAGGTTTTAGCGAATTTTTCCTATAAGATCCCACATTTGCAGCAAGGCCATATTTTTGAATTTTGATCTGAAACTTTGCCCACACGAAGACCTCAACTAAACTAGTTTCCATAAAAAATTTCAGAACTTTTAAACAAAGTCTCTCCGAGATATAAATTTTTCACGATATAGGCGCTTTTCCATAGACAGTGTATAAAACATACATCTTTTGGAAAATTCATATCTCAGAGAGACTTTGTTCAAAAGTTCTGAAATTTTTTATGGAAGCTAGTTTAGTTGAGGTCTTCGTGTGGGCAAAGTTTCAGGTCAAAATTCGAAAAAATATATTTGCTGGAAAACTGGGGTCCTGCAGGAAAAATTCAATAGCTCAGTCCCAGAGGCCCATGCACCCAAACCAAGATAGACTTTTTCACTGCTCACTAGGACCTATCGAATGGCAATGGTCCTGAGCGAAAAGCGATTTAACACCTGGAGAGGTTCCCTTGTAAGCTTCAAAATTTCACCGAAAGTTGTGCGAGAAGAAAAAGGAAAATATTACCGAGTATATGGATGATCCGTTTGATATTTGAGTATTTCTCGTATGATCGTAGTCAACGAAGTCGTAGTTTTCATACGGTATTCGACCTTTTCTGGATTGAATTAAATCAATTAAATCTTGTTTTTCAATACAAAATCGAAGACGATTTACAGATATTATATTTGAATGAAGAAGATAAGCACGAAGATGTTTTACACGAATTAATGCTAATTGATCATCAGTTGTCCGTTCATTAGTAATTAATAAACAAGTTACACATGCACGTGAACGATTGAATATCTGAAACGTGTTTGTTTTCGAACACATTTTGAACAAAATATTTGTCCACATAAATCACAGTGTTTCTAAAATAATTGGAGACAATTCAAATTTATTCGAAAAACAAAACAATCATTGGACAAAAAATTTTATTTTTCTCCTTCACATAAAGATACATTTTATCTTATCTAAAGGGTGATCCAAAAGTCTTGGGCCCTCTCAGAAAAATTATCCGTTCTCCCTTATAGTAAACTCAAAAATGCTCAAACTTCGGTATCTTATCCCTTGTAAGTAGGCGAATATTACCCCAAAGTTTCATGTCTCTATGCCTTATCATAAGGGAGATATATAGGCTAACATTCTAGAAATCTTATTTTCCCCGGTGCAAAAAATAATGGTTGGTGCAGAATACATCTACGTGAGTCACTTTTGCGTTTCATTTTTCCACCACTTAATACGCTCTATTAAGAAAACAAAATATATCTCAAGATGCAGCGTGAAAAGCTCTACAATCTGCACGGTAAAGTGTGTTTTAATTATGTCATTTTTGTTTTCGAAAAAAAGCAAAACTCTGTACAATTAATTTGTGCCATTGCAAAAACTGCTCCCGCAAAGTTTTGCGTTTTTTTTTAAAACATAAAGTACACAATTAAAGCAAGCTTTTCTTTGTAAATTGTAAAACTCTTGACGCTTCATCTTGTGGTATATTTTGTTTTTTCTTAATAAAATGTATTAGGTGACAAAAAGGTGAAAAACGAACAAATTTTTCGTTCGTGTCGAAAAAACGATTTTTTTGCGACGGCGAAAATTGATTGCATGGAGTTTTGCTGTATTTTGGAGCCAAAAACTATTATAATTAAAATACGGTTTATTGTGTAAATTGTAGAGCTTTTCACGCTGCATCTTGAGATATATTTTGTTTTCTTAATAGAACGTATTAAGTGGTGGAAAAATGAAACGCAAAAATGACCAATTTATTAGGCGCCAACCATTTTTTTTTGGACTGGGAAAAATAAGATTTCTAGAATGTTAGTCTATATATCTCCCTTATAATAAGGGAAAGAGACATGAAACTTTGGGGTAACATTCGCCTACTTACAAGGGTTAAGATACCAAAGTTTGAGCATTTTTGAGTTTACTGTAAGAGAGAACGGACAATTTTTCTGAGGGCCCAAGACTTTTGGATCACCCTTTAGGAAGAAGTTTTTATTATAATAAAGGTTATCCAGTTGGACTCAATGTTGATTACTTACTTTTCGTCGAAATAAATTATATTGTCGATGACATTTTTCACATACGGGTGTTTGTTCAGACATTACATCAATTCAATTCGTTTGACAGCCACCTCGTCTAGACTACACAACATTCAATGATTACTTTTTTTCTTGCTTTTTTTGACTATGATACGTTTAGTAAAAACAACGCCGTCATGAAGCAAAATAGTGAATAATGACAGCTAGACCAGGGGGAAGGAGCAAGACTTCAGGAGTGCGTACTTCCCTCATACTTCCATCGTACTTCCTCATACTTCCATGGTACTTCCTCATACTTCCATCGTACTTCCACGTACTTCCATCGTACTTCTTCGTACTTCCCTCGTACTTCCTCGTACTTCCGTGATACTTCCTCAAACTTCCATGATACTTCCATGGTACTTCCTTGTACTTCATTATAATTCTCTGTACTCCTTGATACTTCACTATTTTCTAAAAATAATGATTTTTTATAAAGTTTGACCGAAGGTAATTGAGGTCAAGGAATCCAAATCTGAAGTCAGTTTCCAGAGATTTTGAGTTTGATATTTCTTGTCAAGGGTCGGCTATCTTCTAAAAATAATGATTTTGTAATAAAGTTTGACCAAAGGTAATCGAGGTCGAGGATTTCAAATCTGTAATCCGTTTTTCCAAACTTTGAGTTTAATTTTTTTGTTGTCAAGGAGAGGGTATTTTCTAAAAATAACGATTTTTGATAAAGTTTGATCAAAGGTAATTCAGATCAAGGAATCCGATTCTGCAATCGGTTTTCACAAAATGTCAAGCTTAATTTTATAACTAAAAATATATTTTTAGTAAAACAAGTGAGTTTTAAACTGGCTTCGTAGTGGTTCTATATTTCCTATATTTTTTTGAACTAGTCCTATAATATACTATATTTTGATCATTTTTCCTATATTCCTATATTTTTTGAAAAATCGAAAATTCTTGTCAAGAAAGTCACGCATTCTTTAGAAAAGCATCTAACTTAACATAAGTTTTGTAATTGATATAAATGTACAACGTGAACCTAATGATGTCACCTTGATAATTGATGATGTTAGTGAATGTTTACAACTTGCAATTAAGAAAAAAGATAGCATTGAGGTAAATAGATCAACTATCTTAATCGATAGTGGTAATACAAAAGCAAAGCAGTCAATGAACATTTATCAAAAATAACAGAATTAATTAAAATTCAGAAAAACAAAAATATGAATTTTCTCAAAAACAACAAAAACGACAAAAAACTTTAAATGATGCATCTATCATTTTAAATTAAAAGTTATATTATTTTGTAATATGTAAATATTTTGTTTATATAGTTTTGTAGCTGAGATACTACAACAGTATTGATAAAAGATATCGTGTGTTTTCTATAAAGCAAAAACTTTTTTGATTCTTATTCAATTTCATTTTTTAACATTCATATTGCATTTATGTGTAAAATCGTTAAAAATAGATCGAACCCAAATTGTTATTTTTATTGTTGAAAAATATTTCCATGTCATTGCTTTTCACTACTTGATGATACTTTTTTCTTTAGCCCATCGGATAAATGTAAAAGAAGAATCTCATTACAATCTACGATATTGCTGTAGTTTTTCTAGGCGTCAAAAAAATGTTGTAGGGGAAACTAACGTCCTATATAGTTGAGCGTGGCCCTATATATTTTTGGCCTCTAAAGTCCTATATATTCCTATATTTTTTCAGAAGGCTGCTGCAAGACCAGGTTTTAAGGGATAAGAATTTTTTTGCAAAAATAGATTGTTTTCTGCTAAAAAATTTCCAGTGGAGGGTGTGGGTGTGGGTGTAATAGAAGATAATACAGAGACCGACACTGACACTCACACCCGCACCCACACCCACACACCACCCACACCCTCAAAATTTTGAAAAACCAGTTGCCAGTTTCAGATTCCTCGTACCAGGTTATCTTTGGTCAAGCTATATAAAATATCGTTATATTTAGGAAATTACATTTCGGTCGATGAATTCAGTAGCCTTCCGTTAAAAGTTAAGGGAATCCATGTCGCCTTGTCCTTCTCGTTTCTCGGTACAGGACTGGATTGCGTTCCCCATTCCTACGAACCGAACGCAAAAGTGAAACTCCTACAAAAAATTATCTTCTAAAAACTGTTACTAAATGTACTATGTACAAAGAGGGAAAAGCGAGACTTCTGGTGTGTGTACTCCAGATGTACTTCCCCTGTACTAAGGCATGCGCCAAACCTGAAGCGCTTGGGAGTTTGACTGTGAGTTTCAATTTGGATTAGGTACAGTGCTTTTCCCTAATTCTGCGGAAAATTTTTTTTTATTTTTTATTTTTGCTATTGCGAAACCATTTTACATCCGATCGCGAATATTTTTATAAATCTGAATTCTCCAGATTCTCCTC